AATGTTGATTTTGCAATTAAATATATAATACATATACATTTGTGCATTTATGAAACATTTTTTCAAAATTCAATACTTTTTTTTGTATTAAAATTTTTTTTTGGTGAAAGTGATGAAATTTTTTTCAAAACAATTTTTTAGTAGAATTAAAGGGATTTTAAAAATCAATAAATATAAAATTGTAGCTGTTTTAAGGTCGAAAAATTGGGAGGAGGGGTGAAGCGCCTTATTTCAAAAAATATTATGTTAGATTTATCTCCATATGTATGTACATATAGCTGATCGACGTCTAATCAGTAGCGTAATCTCCAAAGTCAGCCTAGATGTTCCGAGAGGGTGTTCTGATAAAGTAGTGTTAAACATATGTCAATAGCATACTATTGTCTGACTTTTTAGCGTGGTCTGATGACCATAATATGTACTTACGTAAGTACATACATACACAAGTTTGTAGGTCTGTTTGACTGCGGTATAAGGTGCGTCGGCGTTGAAGAAGCCGTTGAAAAGTGTTGCTGACAGAAAGCAGTTGGAAAGTGTGACACGTGACGGATTTACGGATGAGATAAGTGAGCTTCAGATGCACTGGAGATGTTCTAATGCAGATTTAATTAATATTGCTAGTTCTCGTTACTACTATAAACAACAATTTTATATAAGTAGCACTTATAGTTTAGCTTATAGTTCGGCGATCTGTGCCTGTTTGTAATAGTTTGAATAGTAATAAAAATTCATCAAAAAAACAAAATTCTCGTTGAGCGCTACAAATAACAAACTTTTAACAACAAAACCTATATTTTAAGCCGCACTTGATATAAAGACATTGTTTATTTTTGCTTAAGTTACCATTCTTCGCAAGCACTCGCGCCACCGCCGCTGGCTCGCACGCTCTCTGCATGCTCAGCTCACGGCTCTCATCTCTTTTGTGCGAGAGCGCAACCCGCTGACCATCAACAGACGCATTAACAGAGTTTTCCTTTCTTCTTTTCGGTCATTTCAGCCACACAAAGCGCGCCGTTGCGCTCTTGTCTCTTCTGCCTTGGGCGATCTTCGTTGGCCGACGGCATGGTTTCGTTGGACTGTGCGACTTTACGCTCTAGCTGCTAATAATGATGCATTTTCAACACAAACTCAAGCAACTGTAGTTCAGTCAAAATCGAGATACCGTTTTGAACGGACGAAAAACACGGGGATCGTCGCGCAAGCGAAACCATTTACAAAGATTATTGATAACAACAAAGAATAAGCTTATATAGTCTGGAAAAAATTAGAATTCATTACAAAACAGAATACAAAAAAGCAAAAGAAAAGTAATCTAGCTACATGTACGTGCCTGTTTTAAAAGAAATATATTTCAATCCTATTTTTGTGTGTGTGCAACAGTCTACGAATACAACGTGTTTAGTGTAAAAACGAAATATATAATAAAATCCAATCAAGCACAACCAAAAAACGACGATATGCCTATTTATTGAATATCACCAATTTATTACAAATTCAACGTTAACGAGCGTTAAATAAGAGAAATTAAAAATTCAATTAAGAAGAAGGAGCAGTAAAAGCTGCAAGTGGATTTGTGCAAAAGTGTAGAAGTGTTGTTATAAAGCAGTGAGTGTTAATCGCAAAGATCGACCGATCGGCGTGAATATTTGCATTTCGAAATTTCAAGTGCGAAATTGTGTCAAATTTGGAAATAGCAAGCGATTTGCGGCTTTGTGTGCTTAAGCTAGAGCAAAACAAAGTTGAAAATATTGTGACCTTAAAACGAAAAATCGGTAAGCAGCACGAAGTCCAGAAATAATAACAGTTGTTGCGTTTTTTTCGCAAGCAAATTTGTTTTTGAAGGTAAAATATACTTGTAAACATATATACATACATAAGAGGGTGAATTTCAATATTCACGTTTGAAAAAATTTGCACATGTGAGCTAACATATTGATAAAGAGAGGGCTAAGAAAATATTTATTAAAAAAAATTAAATATTTTGAAAATAATTATAATTTTAAATTCTCGACCTTTCGATTATTAATAAAGTTTAACAAATTCAAATTTAAACGCGGATAAAG